CGACAAGGATAGGTATTGACATATCAAGGCAGGCATGTAGCAGTTGGTATTCAAACAACTCCTATTTTTCTTAAATGCATCAAATATAAGACTTAAGTGAATAACGTTTATAAAACACAAGGAAAAGGGGTTATGCTCCGGGGCTTGCCTTTGATGTCGGGGTTGTCAGTTACTTCATAAATCCATAGATAAGATAACCAACACCCACTGATAGAAAATCCACTTCGGGACCTGCTCAACAAAGGGATCACCACTCTTGATCACTAAATGTAAATAAATATGCATGCTTTAGAATGATGCGATACTTAGCATGACTTAAGATGATCAACAAGATTAACTGACTTGAGTACAACTTTCCTTCACCATTAGATAGGTTTAATTACTCACAAAGCAAAGATGTTTATTATTAATATCAAGTTAATCATGATCAACAACCATGAAATGGGGTTGCCAAGGAACAACAGGGGTTTGGTGTCCCAAGGTCTACAATCAATCCAAAATTACATTCAAGTCATGTTATGATTAATTCTAAACATCTTGGTATTTATTAATTAATAAACAAAGCATGGAATTAAATGGATCATTTATATTCATCAAAACAGAATCAAAATTTTTGTGAAGACAGGCCTAAGCATGTAAAACATACACAAAAATTTTCATGATTAAAAGATATTTATTTTAGAATATAAAAATCAAGGAAGTTGCATTTATTAATTAAAAGAGATAATTTTTAAGCATAGAAAAACTATTGATTTTCATTATTTCATATTTTTCTAGGTAGAGCACATCTTGAGGAGGCTACACAAAACTTTTCATGATTTTATCACACTTCTACTATTTTATATAATTTAAGCAAGAATTAGTAAATTTAATTATCAATAAAAAAGACTAAACTGAAGAGAACATTTTTCACCTGACCCCCCCCCCGCTAGATAGAGTGACTGACAGAGGGGCCCAGGGTCCATGGCACAGTGTCCCCGCGGTCAGCCACGGGTTCATCACCGTTGACCGGCGATTCCTTGCCAGCGGTGATCTCGCCGCAGGCGGCAAACGTACCGACGCGACCCTCTCGAGCTGGTGCACCATCCTAGGGGCTAAAGCGGGTGGCTAAGGCACCACGACGAGCACAACGCCAGCCATGGCGGCACGGCAGCGCTTCGGCGTGGCGGACGCGGCCGGCGGTGGGGTTAGTAGCAACGGGGAGGTCACCTACGTGCTCCCCACGCTCACGGGAACACTCTTGAGCAACTAGATGAACGAGTCAAGGTTAGGAATGCATCAACCCGTGGCCACGGCGGCACAACGAAGCACAGCACGCTGGCGCGGTGGCGCTCCAGCCAAGCCTAGCTCTAATCGGCCTAGCTAAGGATTTCTACGCATCCGAGGTGCTCACCGTGACTTGCGCGTCTTGATAGTTGAAGCTGAGATGACGCATCCTGGGATGTGAACAAATGAAGACAATGGTGTTCCGGTGTATCTGGGCTCCTACAGCTAAAACCGACAAGCCGATGAGCAAAAGCACAACAAGGCAGGGCGGGTACATGAAACGGCTCGGCGATAGGCGCACCGGAGTGGCATGGCCTCGGTGAGGTGAAGCACAGCGGCGGGGCGGAAGCTGTCGCGGCGAGCAGTGGCGGCACGGCCAACTCCGGCGGTTAGAGGTGACTTGAGCAGACTCTGGTGGAGCGCAAAGACTAGGCGGAGCTGAGGACTCGGGGAATTAGATGTTGGTTGAGCAGGCGCGGCAAATTGGTCAATGAAAGCGAGCTCGACTGAGGCGGCAGAGAGAGCGAAAGGAGGAAGACAGCGGCTGTCTTTCGCTTATAACGGCGAGGGTGAAGCGATGAGAAGCGCCAGCAGCTGCTTGAGCTCGGACACGCCAATAGCTACATGTCCATGCACGCAGAGGCGGTGCTGGAGGGCGGCAGCTCACCAGTGAAGTAGGCAGGCTGGCTGGCTGCCAGCCATGCACTGTAGCAGTGAATCTCTCCTTTTACAAATTGCTCTTGATTTCATATAGGAACTTGAAAATTTCCAAGAATAAAAGTTGTTCAACTCTTCAAGATCTTCAACTTTTCTTTAAGGCTCAAACCCTAATTCGAACAGGATCAAGAGATTTTGAATTTTGGAGATGAGATTTGAAATCTGTTTTTAGGGTTTGAAAACAATTGTTTTGTTTAAGCAACTTTGGTAATTATTTGGTGATTAATTAATTGTCAAACTAATCAACCAAAACCACCATTGGTTAGTACTATCTTTGTACCAATCAATGATACAATGGTTGAAGAAACTTTATTTGAGAAATTCTTTTTAATAATTCCTCCAAAAATGAATTCAAACAATAAATTCCATGACTTAGGCAAAAATGTCTAAATAATGGATTCCAATTCTAAATTCAATTTTTGAGGTGCAAATTTTAGAGGTTTGAACTTGATTTCATGCCCCACACTTGATCCTAGTGTAAATTACACTCTTTACACTACAAGGTTTATTTGGGCATAATCTCAAGTGTTTAAGTGAAATTCAAAAAAATAGAAGGTCACAAAGTACCTTGGAAGGATTTTTTGTTCTACCTCAAACACCACACATATGCATTAAATGGCTAACAAAATAACATTGATTTTAGTTAATGCAAAGCATGGTTAGCTATTATGGATGATTTCTATGCATGATGATGACATGACCAAGTTTTAGTGATGCTTAACACCAGGGGTGTTACACTAATCCACGTTGAAGCGCCTAAGTCACCAAGACTTGATTACTCTCCAATACACAAGTGAATACCCATTCATCACCAAGGCATGGTGGGTTTTAATACCGTGTACACCTTGTTGGAGAATTCTCATAATTGCTCCATTGAGAAGGTCACCAAGTCCTCTTTTGGGCCGTAAGCGTTGGCAAACACTAAGAGTAACAAGCCCATGAGCTTCACCTCAAGAAACCCAAGCAAGCACGATGGTTGCACTCGAGGCAAACTCTAAAATCTCACCACATTTCCAAGAGTGGTGCTATTTTATATGCTACTTTTTTGTACCTTCTTATATGTTTTAGTCCACCTATATTTTATTTGTGAAAAGTCTACATAACCCCTGATCTTTGCTACTATGTTTACTTCACGGCCGGAACTATAAAACTAGGTAACGAGCACACTAAAGTTTCACAAGCAGTTTAATTTACCCCACTATAGTGGTTTTGCCTCGTATTTTGCCTGCGTGGCTGTCCACCTTAGTGACACGTTGGCCCTGGCCCTGGCCCCACCTGTAAGACCCTTTCGCCCCCCAAATACCAGAACCGGTCCCCTTACTCTCAAATGGCGGCCATCGGCACAAGGACAAGGGCGGAGGCCTCGATGGACGCGCGGCACGGCATCGACTTGAAGGACCGGGTAGCAGTCGGCCTAGACGCAGAGGTGGCGGCACGGGAGCAGAGCAGCACGGCGGAGCCTGCTATGGGGCCATCGGTTCCTTCACCTACTGCAGCTCCATGGGCGCCGCCATCCTGCTGCTCTTCGGCGCGCCACCACCAGCGCTGAGCACCTTGATGGTGACGTCGTCGAAGATGGCGTAGCAGCATGAGGACCTTTGGCGCATTTGACCTCCATGACGGTGAGGCCGTGGCAGAGTTGGCATGGCACGCGGCCTACAGCGCGACATCGCTGCAGCGGCACCTGAGGTGGTTGCAACGGGCCATGATGCCCCTGCCCATGCCCGCGGGCGACCGGGCCCAGGTGGTGGCCGCAGCCGCCGGTGTGAGGGAGGAGGAGGGGGCTGGTCGCGGCAGGAGGGCCTCGAAGGAAGAGAGACCGCGCGCTGGAGCAGCAGGGGGTCCCACGCGGGGGTGAGCTGGAGCTCCGGACGGTGGACCTGCAGGGACTGGCTGCGGCATGCCGGGGCTCGGCGTGTTCCACCTCCGCGCTCCTCTTCGCACTAGCGTGGGGCGCGCTGGCCGGGGCACTGTTCCACGACAAGTGCGCAGTCGGGCTACATATAGGGAATGCCAGCGCGAGGGCGGCCCCCAATCACCAACCAGGAGGATGCCATCGGCCGCATGCATGTGCTCCACGGTGGCGCGTGGCGTGACGTCGTGCCGGCGGGAGCTGGGGAGGCTGGCACGACTGCTCATCAACATGGGCAACATGGCGCGGGCTGTAGCGTCTTCGCCACATCCATGCATCATTGAAGAGTTGCCATGAGAACCTCGTGGACATTGGCATTCGTATGTTCCAAACAAGTTGGTGCATTCACCGTATCATGAGTAGCATTCTGGATCTTGACACTCGTTGATATCTGAGACCGAAAGATCATGAAAAACACAAAATTTAATACAATATATTTTGGGGTTTTGCCTACATACACCAATAACAATCTTGAAGCAAAATAAATCATCGTTGGAAGTATTCAATAGTAAGTGGTGCAAATGATCAGGAGTAAGATAGACACACATAATCGAACCTTGGCATCCATCAACTAGGTAAGGGTTGCCTTGGTAGCCCTGTAGGCACGGGCACACATAGTCGTTCCGGAAAAGGGGTGTTCTTGTCAATGCATTTGCTGTTACTACTCTTGCAGACAGTTTTGGTTTCTGAGGGGCATCTTGTGGCGTTTAGGAGTTGTTGGAGATGAGTTTTTTTTTTCAATCTTGCCAAAATTCCTGAATTGTGAAACTGTTTTGGTTACTCTTGGAGATGCTCTTATCTGCAGTCTTCCCCGGGTGGATTGGGTGGATTGAATTCATCGCCCATTCTAGCACTGCCGGATAGATCGAGTGGTGCCCCTCTAGATCTGATCCCTTTGAGGTTGCTAGAGACATGTGCTCCTTTAACCACCTGACACCAAACCTTTTCGATCCAGCCCTCCTCCCCGATGAGCATGAGATTCTGCATCACTTGGTCGATGTCGTCGTTGTGCCAGTCTAACCTCTTGAGCTCGACATCGTACAACGGGTACTAGAGAGGGATCTTGGCCTGACAGCAGCCATTGCCGGAGCACCTTCCGCACTTGTCACCCTGGACGGGCTCCCAGACGACCTCCTTGTGCCGGCGCATCTCCAATGTGCAGAAGGACGAGCAGCCGGTGATGAGGCGGCCGGTGTTCCCGAACAGCTTGGCCTGGATGTTGCATCCCAGAATGATCAACTTGTTGTGGTGGTATGAGAGGAAGAACAGCCCCAGGGCTTGCACCCGGACTGCCTGTTGCCAAGGGCGAAGTCCCACGATGGTGTTTGCCCTTTGCTCTGGGTTGGAGGTATCTTTGGTTTAGTACGGCGCCGCTGGCAACGTATATGGTGGCGTTGTCAAGATGTATGTTGGTGACCCGGAGGTCGGCAGAGCCTTCGCTGAGCAGCAGCCTCAGCGGGTTGTGCGCGTTGTCGTCGCAGGTGAGGTTTGAAGCCCGGGAGGGAGCAGTTGGCGTCGATGCCGAATGCCCGAATGGGTACGGCACGCTCACGATGCCGCAGGAGGTCCGGCAGCCAGGTAGCCCGTTGCCACGAGGAGTTGCAGCACCCGCACGGGCGCTATCGTTGCGACAAGGAGCAGCAGTAGTGACGAGTGACGAGACTACGGCATAGATGGCCTCTAGCTTTGACAGACAGCTCTACCGCCGGTTAGTCTGCCTGCAACGGTTTTAATTTGGCCGGCACGAATGTTTCTCTCTCTGGTGGTGAAAGTCTAGAATACCTGTTGGTACTTGGTGGTGCTCTAGTGTGGTTTACTGGTTTTGTGTCTATCCAATGTACCGGCGAAACGAACCTTAGGATTCCCGACAAATAAAAAAGATGCAAGGTAAAAAAAATGTTTTTGAGTGTGGGTGTGGGTCATGCATGACGTGGAGCCCAGCTTGCAGTAGGGCATACACTAGCAAAACTACCCTAAATAAAAATTATGGAGGCATCAACCAGGCTTATTGAGAGAATTGAGTGCAGTACGTTATTTGTTCGCTTGAACTACTTCAACAGCATTTTTAGCGAACGAACAGTGTTTTTCTCTCAACACAAATCAGCATAAGCATCAGCATAAGCCAAATTTCAACGAAACGAACAGGGCCGGCTCAAACATACCTACCTAGTAGTACCTACTACCTTGCATTCACCGTTCCAATGGACTAAAGAAGCTTACCAGATGACCACAAAATGATAGCAACTCTTTGACAAGGAAGGTCAACATATAGAACACATCCCCAAAGCAGCATCTGCACATTCTTTGGAACTTTTTATTCCGCATTGGAGCATCTGTCATCAATTACAAACAACCACCTCTCTATCTGATTTCGTCAGCTTCGATCAATCATCGTGGTGTTACAGGTAATCAGGCACTCATGGTGAGTCTGGCAGACTTTCCTGTATGACATGAACAACATCTCAGCAGATCACCAAAAGTTAAGGAAAATTACTAAGAAGATGCAACAAGTAGGCAACTGCACCAATAACGCCACAAGAAGCTTACCACATATTCAATACTTTGGATTTCGCACCACTTCTTCAATTTGGGACATAGGAATACAGTAAGGAATTCAGGAATGACTGGCAACAGTTCCTGAAGCTCAAGTAGACGACAATGAAGTAGTACCAAGCTTTCCAGATTTGTCGGATGCTCCAGACCTCCAATGTGCAAGAATCCTTGGCAATCTGATACCTCAAGTTCAATCAACGTTGAATGATTGGATTCTAAGTCGAGAGATATAAGCTTATGACACCCATGAACTACTAAAGATGTTAACCTTGGCGGAAACTTCATTCCAGGCAATATATAAAGCAAAGGGCAATCAGCTAAAACCAAGCTGTTGAGAAGGTCCAGATTCTCCAAACCCACTAGCGCTAGAAGTTTTGGGCATCCTCTGATCTCCAGCCTGAGAATTACAGAAAGACATCATTGGAGGATGGAACCCTGGAACTTCTTAAATCAACAACCTCTAAGAGCCGCACTTCTGATGGCAACCAATTATCCAGTGACAAAACGAGTTCTGGCCCCTCCTCAGGGCAAATATCTAGAGAGAGGTGTTGAATGGATTTGAAAAAAGCAATGCTACGCCCATACTCCTTTACTGCTTTTTTTATAAAGGAAACTTTCATTTCAGAAACCTGTTGAGTTGGAAAAAAAAACAATGGGATGAGCTTCGCCATTACTATTTTAATCTTCAGTACTCATGAATTATGCAAGTACAGTAACTATTACATAGACATCCAAGTTAAACAACTTTGCAGATCCATCTGGAAGGCTTGTACTAGCATCCATAGTTCAGTCACTATCTTTAGGATCCACAATAGATTATGGAATTGCCAATTGCTCTCTCCATAATCTATATTGAAATAAGTTTAGGGAAATGGATAATACCATGGAAAAGTTTAGGGCTGACTTGTGTATATTACATATAGGGGTTTATTGGTATTTCCCTAATATAAGTAACTGAAGTGCTAACTTATAATCCTAATCACAACCATTAGATCAGTGTTCTACAAAACAACTTGATAAAACAAGCAATCACAAAAAGGGATTTAATGATGCAAAAGAAAAGAGATCTTATGAATAACAAATCAATTTAAAATAATATCCAAAAATAACATAAGACCTGATAGTAAAAGTCTTGTACGACACACCATTCCATCAGTCCAAGGCACTCATCGATGAATGGCTTGCATGGCAGCTTCATTTTAGGAGGGACGATGAGGTCAGGGCAGTTGGCAATATATAAGCTCCCAAGAGAACAAAGACATTCCAGCCCCACCAAGGAATTCAGGCTCTGACAATCTCTGATATCAAGAATTTGCAGCTGAGACGGTGCACTATGGACTGAAAGCTGGAGATCTGTGAGCGCTAACTTGCTTAACATTAGCTTTCTGACAGAATCAAAATAAGGTATTCTTCTTAGTTTGTAGCAGTTTCGTATAGTGATGTTCTGCAACTTTGGACAATCTGAATCCTGCAATCCACACCAGTCCTGTAGAGCACGCAAACGATCAAATTCTAACTCCTCCAGAGCAGGAAATGCTACCTCCATTTGCTGGCATTTATTGTTATTATTATGACATTGGAAAGAATCATGATTCAACTTGATTACTGCAATTTGAGAAAGCTTAAGGCGTCGCAACTTCTTAAGGTTTCCAATGCATATATGAAGCTCTGTAATGTTGTAGCAGCGATGCAAGCACAATGTGTCCAAGTTATAAATCTCACAAAATCGAAGAAATGAGAAACAATTAGAGTTAACAGAAAGGTGAAGGTATCTTAGACTGACAAGATCGCATGACATAATGCATAATTGTGTACCAAAAGTGGATATGACCAATTTCTCTAGGCTGTAAAGATTACATATTGTCCCTAGAAAGAGTTCGGGTTTGGTATTTCCCCTTTGCAAGAGCTCCAGGTTACGTTTAATGGCATGACAATATACGCGGAGATAGCGTAAGTGCTTCAGATTCTGGATACAAGATATGGACCCTGAAAATAGACGACAACCTAATATAAGAACCCTCAGGTATGCAAATTTATGTATGCCAATATTGTCAGTGACAAATTCAATGGATTCTAAGACCAGTGTACGTAAATTGTCCAATTGACAATCCTCGAATTTGCCATTAGGTTTATAAACAAATAGGTGCTGCACTTTGTTTTCCACCTTAAGTCTACCACCAGCACAAGGCATTTCAGAGAGCATGTGGCTGGACAGAGATTTTTCAAGGTCAACCAAAACTTTTGACTTGACGAAAGGGCTGGATTCAAAGTTGTATTACTCGTTCTTCCACCCAAAGCTTCAAGCAATGATATTCTATGTAGCTCAGCAACGTTCAGGCTATAGTTGAAAATAAATGATCTTGTGTGTCGCATTTTCATGTCTTGGCGATTTTTTTTTTGAGGAAAGTCTTGGCGATCATTACAAGGGTATTTCATTAAAGATCTTCGGAACACTTTTATGTAATCACAAGTGAGGTCAGCATATGTTTCAATTAAAGATCTTTCAGTCAACTCATCGAAGTAATCAGCAGCGACTTCTTCTGGTGTTTTGCATTTAGTAGGATGGATATAACCTTGAGCAACCCACAAGTGAATCATCTGACCCTTGGTAAATTGCCGACCTTTTGGATATAAAGCACATAGCAAGAAACAAGGTTTCAGCCTTGCTGGCAGTCGATAGAAGCTCAACCTGAGAGCAGAGAAGATCTCTTCATTATCATCTGAACACTCCCAAAAGTCACTTTCCAATATTTCCATCCAAAACTGCATGTCCATCTTGGACCTTAACATGCAACCTATCGCCTTAACTGCCAGTGGTAGTCCACCACACTTTTGGATAATTTTCCTACCAACCTGAACCAAACTACATTGTCCATGGATCATCCTGTCCCCAAAAGCACAGTGTTGGAACAATAACCAGCAATGATCATCAGCTAATGAGCCAAGGACAAAGGGTCCAACTGTTTGCACAAGGCGTGCCACCTCTTTACTCCTAGTAGTCACCAGAACTGTCAGACTTCGAGCAAACTTGAGTGGACACAGCAAATCTTGCCATTCATTCCATAGATCATCCAGCACTAGGAATACACTCTTTCCATTTACCGCTTTCTTCAGAATGTCATGAACGCAGCTTAATTCATTGAAGTTACATGATTTCCTGGTCAGGGATTCGGTGATTGCAATTGTTAGCCTGACTAAATCAAATGTTTGGGAAACATGAACCCAACCCATGAGATCATAACTTTCCAGGAATAGTCTGTCATTATAAACCATCTGTGCCATCGTGGTCTTGCCAATGCCGCCCATACCAACAATTGGTAGAACATGAGCTCCACTGCCCTGACTGAAAGATAACACTGACTCTATGATGCTCTCTTTCTCCTTCGTCCTACCAAAAACAAGGGATTCATCCAGGAGGTGGCTCATCGTTCTACACCAAGAGTCCCTCCCAGAAGTTCTTTCTCCATCCTCTGGTCCAAGATGCAGGGCGGCTCGATCTCTTGATATCTCCTCAAACCTGCATGTGAGCTCCCTGATTCGCTGCGAATCAACTGGTGGTTATTGATGGAATCGAAAACTCTTTTAGGTGTAGATCAGTGAGTAGAACTTAGCTTAATGTATGAATCGGGAGAGGGAGACTTGGATGATGTACTTCATCATACGTAGCCACGGCCACGGCGCTATAGCGACGTGGCCACTGGAGTCGTAGTAGCAGTGTAGGCCCGGTGCAGTGACGACGACTAACGGCGATGCGAGGTGCCACGGTCCAGTGGTGGCACTTCCCGTCGCTTCAGCACTCCCTCTAGATCGGGTTAGGGTTTCTCGGTAGGCGGGTTGCGGTGGCTCAGGTCAACCTCGTACCGTGTGTCCCGGTCCCCACCTCTCTTTTATGGTGCTGTGCGATGGGGGCCCACCAACCATAGAGCAGTTGGGCACCCCTGATCAGGGCACGGATCCAAGGGTCTAATTGGCCGTTGGGTCAATTGGTGGAGATCAAACTAACATTCTCTCCCTTGATCTCACCTTATTCCTTAAACTTAACTTAACTTACTTTATCTTGTTCCCATTCCATCATAGATCAGTGTATAGAGCGTGCCTTATCGTCATGGTCTGTTGCCATTAGATTAAACAGCTACAACACACATCTCTGTTTTGAAACAGATACTCAACTAGGCTCTTAGTATCCAGAAATCATAGGCTTTTCCATAAACTCATGTCGACTGTGTCTTCTCTAAATGCACTGGGTGGTTAGCCTTTGGTAAGCGGATCCACATGTATTTACTCGGTACTTATGTGATCAATGCTTTCAAAATGATTCTGGATTTTCTCCTTTACAACATATACCTTAGTGTCAATGTGTTTGACAGCACACTTGACTTGTTGTCTTAGGAGTTAACTTACTTTAAATGGTTATTGATGTTGTCTACCATTGTTAAATCCGGGTACATATTCCCTTAACCTCTTTTGCCTGTTCCTTAAGCCTCGTGGCAAGCTATACTATGGTATGCATCACTGATGACACCACAACTGTTTCTTTGGAGCTTTTCCATAATAATACTCCAACTGCGAGTGTTAGCAACTATTGTGGATTTCACTACACATCTCGCCAAGACTCAACTTTTGTACCCTCAACTATTTGAGAGTTCTTATTCTTTCTTACTCAGCATGATGCCTATAATACTTTGTAAAATTGCAAGACATTCTCAACTCAATTCTAGTGATCTATATCTGAACTGGACTTCTGCCAAAATATCTCGGATACATAAACTACGTCAGGGTAAGTTCTTACTTGTACTTGTACACACATCAAGCTTCCAATAGCTGAAGCATATGGAACCATATTCTTTTGATCGATCTCATATCGGTTACTGGAACACTTAAAGTTCCCAAAACTATTACCCTTGACTATAGGAGCAGGCGTAGGTTTACTCGCATGCATATTTTACTTCTTTAGAATCTTTTCTAAGTATGCATTTGCGATAGTTCTAATACCCTATTTTCTTCTATCTCATTGAATTTTAATTCCTAGAACCAATGACACTTCACCAAGATCATTCACATTGAAATTGAGGACAAAACTTCTTTTCTCCAATAACAGATTAACATCACTACTAAGGAGTAGAATGTCATCTATTCACATGATGTGGAAAATGAATTTTCTATTCTTGATCCTCGCATAAACGCTATCGTCCTTCTCATTTTCTTTAAAAAACCCAAACTTTCTTATTATTTTCATCAACTTCAAATACTATTGTCTAGAGATTTACATTTAAACCATAAATAGATTTCTACAGGCGGCATCCTATATGTTCTTTTCTTCCACAACAAAACCTTTTGAGTTGTGCCATATAATCGTTTTCATATAAATCCCCGTTGAGGAATGCCGTCTTTACATCCATCTGATTTAAATATAAATCGTAATATGCCATTAACACCATTATGATTCTAAAAGAATCCTTACATAAGACTAGAGAGAAAACTCTCATTGTAATCTATTCATTTTCTTTGCTTAAAGCATATTGCCATAAGTCATGCTTTATGTCTTTTTATATTCTCTTCTGAGTCATATTTTGTCTTGTAGACCCATTAACAACCTACTATTTTAGCTCTATTAGGAATTACTTCTAAGTCCCAAACATCGTTGGTATTCTTCAAATTCATATCAACTTTCATAGCTTCTTGCCATTTAAATGAGTAAACGCTTTTCATGACTTCTTCAAGTGAGGTGGGATCACCTTTCATTTCAATTTCTTTATTAACATAGACTTCATAGTCATCAAAAAAACTGGTTTACTAATTCTTTGAGACCTTCTAGGGCCTCAGTTACTGGGACTTTCATATGGGGCTGTTGTTGCTCTTCATTGCTAAGAGGCAATTGATTCTACAGGCTCCTATATTACAAGATCCTTTTTTACATTATTCATCTTCTTTGAAAGGCTAACAACAGGTGTTGTATATGTCATACAACATCAACATGTATTGAGAGATTCATTGTTTTTGAATCACTGAAGTGGGCATGCAGTCCTGCTTCTCTTCAAGGCTTAGGTCTCTACATACCTCTACATACCATGCTCCCCCAGATCTTCCTATCTTTTCTAAAGATAGTGTACCTTTAAATATCTTATTTTGGGTTTAATCCGTTAAAATCTCATACGGCGCTTTAAGCACCACCTTAACATCTTTGCGACTAACTACGCTATTTTTCTGTCGTAACTTTGAAAGGTCTAGGAATTTAGCTATTTCTCTGCTTAGGGGTATTATTGTTGTAACCGTTGTACTCCTCCAATGGTCTTTATCTCACTCTTAATGAATAGTATCTTTCTTAACTGATCTTTATCTCACTCTTAATGAAGAGTATTTTTCTTAATTGATCTTAATATTCTCACCCTCGAATATGACATGAACTTTATTGCCATAATTTCGATAACTATTCAGAAAGCCAGTAAACGAGGAGACACTTATAACTTACTTCATTCACATGATTATGTCATGTAAACAAAGTTATTTCTTGATCCGTTTAGGAGTACACTTTCCTTAATTCACTTTAAGAATTCAACGAGGTCTTTCATTAGCAGTACTTTTACAAGTCACGCTTGCATCTTTTTCTTATCCTTTGGTCAATATTGACCATGACGATACATTTCTATTGTGTCATGGTCAATACTAGGATAACATAAGAGCTACCCAAACTTCTCTCACTATATGGGATACAAAAAAATTGTGAATCATCACAAAACTTCTCCCGCCATACAGGATTGACTAGCATAAGTACTATGCCAAAACTTCTCCCTATGTGGGATACATCTATACGAAAACTTAGTCATGACGACTAAAACATTCACTTATACTTTATTTTCTAATTAAATCTTCCCGTTGGTTCCAATTTAATCAGAAAATTAGTAAACTAACAAAAAACTATCCTGAACTGGCTTGACTCAAGCCTTTTCTTTCAAATACCCCAACATTGCAGCCCATTGGCATGCAGCCGAGTGATCTCGTCTGTTAAAAAATAAAACATATGATATGCTTCTACATCAATTTTACATCACAATTGGGCAGAAAATAGAATTAATGCATAAAACTCAAAAATTAACTTGAAATCCATATGACTACTCTTCAAAATTAAATTCTCCCGTTGGTTCGAATTTAATTAGAAGATAATCAACTTCATTGCAGCGGAAACATGTTAATAAAATACATTCTATTAGTTTAGGAGCATTTCTTGGTCCTTATCTACTCTCTAAAAAATTGACCACGTTGGTGTAAAATTTATCAGAGATTTAAACTTCAAACTTAAATTCATTATAATATTATCAGCATCAATGTTGGTCAGAAAATGGCAATACCATAATCTTACTTAAACAAAAAATGGACTACTCCTCTAATTTAAATTTTTCCGTTAGTTCCAATTAAATTAGAGAATAAATATGATTATAATTTACTAAATATAACTGCTCTTCAAATCAAATTCTCCTGTTGGTTCGAATTTAATTAGAAGATAATCAACATTAAACTTTGTAGGGGAAACTTGATAAATTGTTTATCTATCTTTCAGAAGCATCTCATTGTACTCATCTACTCCCTGAACAATTTATCCCATTGGTTCAAAATTGAATAGAGATGAAAAACTAATCAAAATTCATCAAGATTCGCTTCTGAAAATAAATTAACCAATTTATAGTCATTACTGTGCATTCAGCCCGATCCTTCAGGCGCTCGCACGTGGCCCAGCAACGCACAGCAGCGCACGCGGTGCCTCCTCGCGCCCAGGCCACAACCTGGGCCTGGGCCAGGATTTCCATCTCCCGCCTGGGCTCTTTTATGTACAGACGATCTCAGCCGCTTGTTTCCAAACGATGTCCAGGCATCAACATAGCGAGATCAAAACCCGGCCGTGGCTTATCCCCAAAACCCTAGACTCCATTTTCTACCTTCTCCCTTCTCTCTCTCGTGCCGCGCAGGCGTCAGCAGCGGCGGCCACGGTGGCCATCGGCGCCAATGAGGAAGACAGCCATCGGACCAAGTCCGGCTCCCCTTCCTCCTCTTTCTTTCTATTCCCTTTCCCCTTCTCTTCCTCAATGCCGCAGTCAGAGATGACCACGACGCGATGGCACCCTGTGGCATCCAGAGAAAAAGAAGGTAGTGGCGCCGCAGCGGGGCCCCTCGCCGACACCCGCGCTCGCCCAAGGCTGAGCACGTCGCCATCGAGCGGCTTTGCGGCTGCGCCCTAGATTCCGAGCCCGCACGTCGGCGTCTCATTGGTGAGCGGCGGCTCGGCTATCCGCGCGGCGTCAGGGCTTTCTTCCCGAGCGACGGTGGTGGAGAAGCCCTGGTAGGTCCTCCCCTTTCCGTCCGTGGTTTTCTAGGGTTAGGGTTCGGGTTAATCCTTCTGCCACTATTCATCTTCCCTAACTGTTTTTCACGAG